ACCAAACTACCGTGGACAGCAATTAAATGTTATTAATCTACAATCTAATGATTTTCAAGCTAAGGCTAAGCTATAAATAGTAAATATGAATGATGTTAGTGAGTCACAGGAATTTGTTACAACCTGTTAAGCCGAAAGCTGCTGTCATTAACGGCACTAAACTGGTCTTTAGTGTGTCAATAAACAATTTAGTCATCACCAGCAAGCGATGACAAGTTCTAAATCTTTTATACAGTATGGTGAAACAGGAGCAACTTTTGTTTGTGAAGTATTATTTCATTAACATTGAAAAGACATTTCCTCGGGCACCGCTGTAGTTTACCGGCGTCCCGTGTACAGAGCTACAGTCCCGATGTGGAGGTCATGAGTTCGAATCCCGCTCATGGCTCTTTCCCACACGTCCTCCTCCCATTCTTCTCCCCCACTTTCCTGTCTCTCTCTCTCACTGCTCTATCAATAAAGGCACAAAGGCAAAAAAAAAAAGAAGACATCTCCTTCTGAGATCAGTGGACCGCGCTGTGATCGGTCTTCAGTGGGACTAGTTTGTCATTACAAACTAAAATGAGATGTGGATGGTAACTTTGCTACGTCCCCAAATGAATTCTGGTTTTACATTTTTCACTCTTTTGTCCCCAATAGCAACATAATCTGTTACAGCATGTAAACATAAGTTCACTATAATCAGGCTTCTAAAATGAAGTCCTGTGACCTCGATGAAATGAAGTTTTCCCAAGACTCTATTTGTAATGGGAGTTGCCTTGTCAAGACAAGACTCGATTGTCTCACTTAGTTTGGATTTTTCTCTCTGCACCCACAGAGAGGGATCGTGGCTGTAAGGAAGGATTTACCGGGGCCGCCTGTCCTCCCAGCAGTAGGCTGATTGGAGGGGCCGGCTCTGTTTGTTAAGGTAATGGGCCCTAGGTGAGTTAATTCACAGGGTACACGCTGCACGCTCTGTCACCTCAGGAGTACCCCGGTGGAAAAGGGGGCTGCCGGCGGGGGCTGGGACGCAGGAGGAGGAGGAGGGCGGGAGGAGGTGTCCAGCTCTCTCCAAAATCCCCTCAGCCTTGCTCCGTCTCCTCCAGCTCCACCTGAAAGTGATTACCAGGCCAGCCGTGAGCAAACAAGCCCCATATGGAGGGTCTATAGTGGGGCTGAGGCTGGAGCCTGGGGAGCCCTCTTTGGAGAGAAGAGGCCTGAGCAAACACAGCTAATGAAGTCTTAACAAGCAGCCCCGGGTTAGCGCGAGCCCGCTAAATGCCACCGAGGCTCTTGGAATTGTGTCCAGCAGATTGGCTAAATCTCCTCGAAGCTTTCCTTTACAAGATAAAGTTGCATTAGCATATCTCTGTCTCACCATCTCTGAGGTAAGGCCAGGATCTGGCACGCACTCACACTTGATGGGCTCCCTTTCTTCCGCGGCAGCACTTGATTCTGACAGAGTGGGGCTTTAAACTGAACACATTAACTCTGGATCTTGACATGATTGTGGATTTTATTCATTGGTTGTGTTTTTCTGAGGCCTGGCTTGGGAGGTGGGGGTGGGAGGAAGAGATATTTTCTCACAGCTCTGCGTTGCAAACAGGAGATGAGTTGCACTTCCTCCGAGTAAATTATTATCTGTGTGCAGAACAAACCCGGCGCCCTTTCTTGCCCTCGTCTATCCTCCCTCTGCTCCCTCCATCACTCTCCTACACCGTGACCAGCACCTTACCCTCACTCCCTTTTTTTTTATTATGTGTCCTTTTTCACACATCTCAAATTCCAGGAGTTTATTATTGGGGAAAATATCACACCGACCATCGTGTGCACAAACATACACTCGCATACCTCCACGGCGCTGGCTAGCCCGAGTCTTGTTTCCTAATCAAAAGCAAACAGCCATTAACAGAGCTCCTTCCTTGTTATCTCACACCAGCGAGTCACTTAATCAATGTGTGTTCTCTTGATACTCAGCTCACTCTGGCTTTTTTTTTTTGTTCAGTCTAGTTGAGGCTGTAAAAAAAAAAAAAAAAAAGCTGCCTCATATGATAAAGACTTGGCTCCACTCCAAACACAACATCACTACTAAACTTAAACTCCAACACCACCACACCCCGGCCCCTGAACACAACGTTGCATTATGTTTGGATGGGAAACTGGGAGAAAGATGCTTTTTTTTTTTTGCACTGTGAGACCACACATTGGCTTTTTTTTTTTTGCACTCTGCAGGAGCTGTGTGAGTGTGTGCACAGTAGAGAACAAAATGTCTATTCAAAAACACATCTCTCTTGTTGGTGAAATGAAGATCGGGTTTCGAACAGATGTGCCGATCACATGTCTGCCCTCGCCTGTCTCGTTTTACCAGAAGCTGCGTGATTTTCCATCCGAGGGGCGGTCTGTCGTAAAGATAGTAATGATACCACAATTAAATCTCAATTACGCATCTGTTGAATTTACTGGAGAATAAAAAAAAAAGCTTTCTAATGTCAGACAAAGTGATCCCGAGCAGCATGTTGGAATAAAGTGTGAATAATAATATTCATGATTAATTTGTGCAATATGGGGAGGCTATTCCTAGGAAGGTGTTGTTTTTAGATTTTAGCTCTTGCAGCAAGTTCTGCTCTTGCATTAATAAACAGTTTTTGTATTTATAGAGCGACTCTAGATGACGGCATCAACTCTTCAAGTAAAAACAGGTAAGTATCATGAGGAGAATGTCCTGGAGGTATCAGAAGTAATAAATACACATTATGCTGCAGAATGGCCCCCCGAGATAACTTTTTATGTGTATTTTATTACTGGATTTTGATTACTTGTGCATTAATGTGTGTGAGACGTTTTCATGTTGTAGCTGGTGGAGGTGAAGCTGAGTTTAACTAGCTTGTACACGGATCAGCCGCGACATAAAAAACCCCCGACAGGTGAAGTGAAAAACAGAGATCATCTTGTCACAGTGTAATGTTCTGCTGGGAATCCTCGTCTCCTGGCATCTAGGTCGCTTTGACACCCACCTAAAGATTGTTGCAGGACCAAGCAGCGTCCCCCAGCAGGACGTTTTGCTGCACCGCACTGCAAGAACTGGTCAGGAACGACTACAAAGAACATGTTGATCTTTCAAACAGTTATGTCGAGCATCCACATGATGCACTAGAACAGGGGTGTCCAATCCTGGTCCTGGAGGGCCACAGTCCTGCATGTTTTAGATGTTTCCCCTCTTCATCAGGATCATTATCAGGCTTCTGCAGAGCTTGATGATGAGCTGGGAAACATCCAAAACATGCAGGATTGTGGCCCTCGAGGACCAGGATTGTACACGCCTGCGCTAGAACAAGTCTACCTGCAACCCACAGGACCAAAAGCATCCAGTGCCAAAGTCCTGCCACCGGACACCACAGTTTTTTTTGTCACTTTAAATGTTGTGGCTGCTTTGGGGATTAAGCTGGCCAGCACTGTACACAGTTATCCATCACGTTTCAGCCTGGTGTCTTGGAAAGGTGTGTACATTTCACACCAAGTTACTTTGGATATTACCATTTTTGCATTTTGTGTGTCACTTCACAGCATGTAGTACCATAATAACCACCTCCCTGTTACATCATCAATAACTTTTGCTATTTTTCACGTTGTTTTAACACTGTAAATGACAAAAGCTTAAAATGTATAGACATGCAAAATGTGCCAGAGGTATCATGCCATTTACACACACTGTCATGTGTCATGTTATGGTATTAAAAGCTCATGGTACGTTTTGTTTGGGAAAATGTATCCCTTAAGTATGATATTGTTCAATGAAGTGTCTCTTTTTGAAATGTAATCAAGTAGAAGTGGCTGAAAACGAGAATAAAGTACAAATATTTCATATTTGTACTCGAGTTAATGTATTTAGTTACATTCAACCACTGCAAAAGTGTTCACAGACTACTTGTGAATCCATAAAGTGAGATCAGATGACAGTCATTCCAGGCAGCTGAGTGCAGAACTGACGATACAGTAAGTTTAGTAAAAGCACTCTGCGGCGAGTCTTTGTAAAGAAGTTAGAGAAGAGAAATTGTGGGCTGAAAAGAAAAACATTTGCTACAATGAGATTACTGTCACATCACTGCTGAGATCCCCAGACAGCCGCTGTAAGCACGTTAACACTGATATGAGTTCTGTGCCACTGTCTCTGCGCGCTCCGCTGCTTGGTCTTTGCCTCGCGCAATTACGCCTCCCGCGGAGCTCTATGCAAGCGTTAAACGAAACATTAGCACCTCATTTAAAAAATAAAACAGCTTTTCACAAGGACAGACAGCTCCCTGGGTAGTCTTATCATGCGCAAATTAGCCAATTTACCAAACTGGCCTCTCTCTCGCTCTCAAACGCAGAAACAATCATTTGGAGCTGGAAGCATCTCTGCTCTGCCTGCTGTGGTACCATTGTTGTGACACTATCAAAGATTGTGTGTTAAAGAAAGCTACAAGACAGTGAAGAAGATTGTGGAAAGAGCAGAAATTGTTCCTGTTTACTGCTTTTCTTTGTGTAATGTTGTCAGAAGCTGTTGTTTTGCAACTTTTTACAAGTAATGACAGCGTTATTTCACTTTATTAAAGCCCAGAGGTGGTTGTAGGTGTTCAATAAACTCATAAAAACAAAGCCAAAAGTCTGCACGCTTATGAATATGTTCATAAAAGTGATGGTTTTGTTGTTGTTTGTATCAATGATCACATAGAAACTGTGATAAACATCCGTTTTTACGCATCATCCGCGTCTCCATCCTGGACCCTGCAGCCACAACTGACAAATCTAGCGTGATCATGAGCTATATAACAAAACATTTAAGGTAAAAAACATGATTGACAGATGGCAGCCCTGCCCCTGCCGCTCTGTGATTGGAGCAGCGGCTGCGGGGGCGTGTCCAGCCCGCCGCTGGTATATATCGGCACCGCTTCGTCTCCAAGCTGATGATTTGTATGGGAACCAGGACCGAGGTGGGACGAGCCGACTGAATGTAGTCGCTGTGTTTTGAAGAAAGAAAGGAGGCCCACATCTTTCCGTTTGTAGCGATCGGACAGCAGCACTTGGGTTGTTTTGGCTTTTTTTCTTCTTTTTGAAACAGACTGTGTGAGGATTGTGAGCGCAGCTTCCACAAGAAGCTGGATTCTCCTCTCAGCCATCTTGACTGCCGCTCGCCGCCCTGAAGGCTGTTTTCTCTCCTCCTCCTGCTCCTCCTCAGCTCAAAGTAAACACGGCTTGCACATTGCTTGCAACTCCGTGCAAGATCCCGAGAGGAGCGAGATGGGCTCGCCGCGCAACGTCTAACCGGACCGGAGGCGAAAGCAGACGGCTGAGAGGATTTATTGCTGTTTGTATCAGAGCAGAAGAGAGGGGACACGACGCGCCGGAGAGATGGACCTGTTTGGGATTTACCTGCTCCTCTCACTCGCTCTCCTTCCCCGATCCAGCTGCACCACGGCCAAGGAGATCACCTGCCAGGAGATCGCCGTGCCGCTGTGTAAGGGGATCGGCTACAACTACACCTACATGCCCAACCAGTTCAACCACGACACGCAGGACGAGGCGGGACTGGAGGTGCACCAGTTCTGGCCTCTGGTTGAGATCCAGTGTTCGCCGGACCTGAAGTTCTTCCTGTGCAGCATGTACACACCGATCTGCTTGGAGGACTACAAAAAACCTCTCCCGCCGTGCCGGAGCGTGTGTGAGAGAGCCCGGGCTGGCTGTGCGCCCCTCATGAGGCAGTACGGCTTCCCCTGGCCGGACAGGATGAAGTGTGACCTGCTGCCGGTTCAGGGCAACCCGGACACGCTGTGCATGGACTACAACAGAACCGACTCCACCACGGTCTCCCCGGTGCTCTCCAAACCCACCAACCACCCCGGTAAGGGTTACAACCCGCCTAAAAATAAGCCTGGCAGACCCGGCGCGCCTGGGAAATACAAGCCGCCCTCCGCTCCGTGTGAGCCGGGCTGCAAGTGTCTGGAGCCCATGGTGCCGGTGAACACGGACCGACACCCGCTTTACAACCGCGTCAAGACCGGACAGATCTCCAACTGCGCCATGCCGTGCCACAACCCCTACTTTACGCACGACGAGAGAGCGTTCACCGCGTTTTGGATAGGACTTTGGTCCGTGTTGTGCTTCGTGTCAACTTTTGCCACCGTCGCCACTTTTCTCATCGACATGGAGCGCTTCAAGTACCCGGAGAGACCCATCATCTTCCTGTCGGCGTGCTACATGTTTGTTTCCATCGGCTACATTGTCAGACTGATCGCCGGCCACGAGAAGGTGGCGTGTAACCGGGAGTTCGACCTGGAGCACATCCACTACGAGACCACCGGCCCTGCGCTCTGCACCGTGGTCTTCCTGCTTATTTACTTTTTCGGCATGGCCAGCTCCATCTGGTGGGTCATCCTGTCTCTGACCTGGTTCCTCGCCGCCGGGATGAAGTGGGGCAACGAGGCGATCGCCAGCTACTCGCAGTACTTCCACCTGGCCGCCTGGCTCATCCCCAGCATGAAGTCCATCGCGGTGCTGGCGCTGAGCTCCGTGGACGGAGACTCGGTGGCTGGCATCTGCTACGTGGGGAACCAGAACTTGGACAACCTGCGGGGCTTCGTCCTCGCCCCTTTGGTGATTTATTTATTCATAGGCACTATGTTCCTCCTGGCGGGATTTGTGTCGCTCTTCAGGATTCGCAGCGTCATCAAGCAAGGTGGCACCAAAACCGACAAACTGGAGAAGCTCATGATCAGAATAGGTATTTTCACCGTCCTCTACACGGTGCCAGCGACCATTATAGTCGCCTGTTACTTTTACGAGCAGCACAACAGGCAGAGCTGGGAGATTACGCACAACTGCTCCGACTGTTTATTAGAGCGGGACCGCAGGACTCCGGACTATGCAGTTTTTATGTTGAAGTACTTTATGTGCCTTCTTGTGGGCATCACGTCCGGGGTGTGGATCTGGTCTGGGAAAACTTTGGACTCTTGGAGGACTTTCTGCACCCGCTGCTGCTGGGGCAGTAAAGGCACCAGCGGCTCCATGTACAGCGACGTGAGCACCGGACTGACGTGGAGGTCGGGCACGGCCAGCTCCGTGTCTTGCCCCAAGCAGATGCCATTGTCCCAGGTTTGAATGGCAAAAAAAAAAAAAAGCAGCTTATGTGGACTGCTAATTGTTTGGGAGATAACCCATCACTCTGTCTCCAGCGATTTGCATAGTAATGAACTGCTGCTGAGGTGTCCCCTCTCCACCCACACACACCTCTGTGGGGAGAACTGCTTGAAACAAGTCATTCACACAGGTTATCTCCCTCCTCCCTCCCTCCCTCTATCTCCTGTTTATATGTATTAGAGGTACAGTCTGAGGCTTTTTACGCAAACTGGGCATTACTTGCTTCAAGGCAGAGACACAGTTTTTGGGGATTTTATTACCATTTTATCTACATAGTGCCAGATAACATTGTATAATTCAATCACATCAAAGATGGTTTAAATTAAGCCTTAATAGTGCCCAAGTATTTTACGGGTCATTCTTTTTTTTTTTTTTTGTAATTTCAAATGTATTTATATAAAAGTTCTGTAAAAACGTGTACATTTGTGTATAAAAGAAAACTTTATAAGATATTGTAAATTTGTACAAAGTGTAGATGTCTCTTTTTGTGAGAAAAGCAAATATGACCTCTATTTTGACAATAAAACATTTGATAAATCTGAAGATCTGTGCAGTGTTTTCCCATGGCAGGGACGACAGGGCTTATGTTTTTCCCCCTCCTCAGCCCGTGCAGGCATATTTTGCGGTTTCCTTGTGGTCACCGTGTCGAGGATGGCAGCGGCAATAGCAGCTTTTGAGAGTCCCAGCTAAAAAGGAAGCCCTTTTAACCATCAGAGACTGGTAATTAGAGGCAGGGGTTGAGTTGGAGCATCTCCATAATTGTTAAAGTCCTCTTCACATGCCTGCCGAAGCCTGCTTTCTTAATTTAGTAAAAGAGGGAGTGGGTGAATGGGGGTATAAATGCAGGGAACGGACCCTTTTCATCTGCAGAAACTTTGATCTTTCTTTTTTAGCAGCCTAGAATAAAGGTGGTGTGTATTAGGAGTGTCTGTCTGATGTGCCAAGGTTCCCTCTAAACGTCCCCATTTGGATGCTTTGATGGACGTCCTACAATTGAAAGAGCATTTTGGAACCCCTCGCTTTTTTTTTTGCTTTTTTTTTTCCCGGGGAGGTTTGTCAGAGCTGAAACCTGCCAGAGCCCCTGCGTCTTGTGTTTGGTTTTTACGCCGGGGCCTGAATTGAAACATCTTCTCCCTCGGCTCAAGCTGTGTCAGCGAGTGCAGGGGCCTTGACATGAATGATATTGAAATAGCAATGAAAGCCCCACAGGTGGTCTGTTCACATGATCTCACATCTTAGGGGCCCTTAATCGAGGCATTTTTTGCTACAAATGTATCTGGTTTGGTCCCAATTAACCCAATGCGCTGGCATCGGATGATACACTGTAACCCAGCGTAGACGGCCCTTTGATTTACTGGTCAATGGTGACAGTGGGCTTTGTAGTGACTGCTTTGTTCCTGCTTTATTCCTTTACACTCGCACTGTAGATGTGAAGCCCCGAAAAGCCTCTTTTCAGCGCAGTGAAGACATGCATCTGCTGGCAGAGGAAAGCAGACGTACACATCTTGCATCACTGCTGTCAGCGAGGCCATAAAGATGGAAGTCATGGCAAAAAACAAAATCTAACTTTTCATATTTTTTCTCTTCAGCTTCCACACAGATGACCAACACTTCTGAATGTTTGACTAAAGCTACCACGCATCACTTAGGGAGTTTGAAAGAAGTTCATGAAAAGTGTAAACATTGCTCTGTTCTCTGTTTGGCCTTGCAATACATGCTCAGAATCTTTTTTCTGTTTTATTTCCATCAAATAGTTGCTTTCACTCCTGCGGCTTGTTTTTTTCTGGTGTTTACCCCCAAAAACCTCAGTGTGCAGCTGCAGCTTTCTCCGCCTGCCAAGCCTCTCCGGCAAATGCCACTAATGTGCAGCCCCATCTAGTGGCGAAAGCGGCCCTGCGCCGCTCCGAGCGGTGTCAAAACTGTAAGAGTGCTGCTTCTAAAACCGGGGCTAGGTGCTTCCAGATTTATTGCCGTCCCCCGAGCAGCGCAGGCAAGAAGCAAGAAAAATGTGTGCAGTGTGTGATTCCAAGCTGAGAACAAGTTTAATCCAACACATACTGCACCTTCAAATCTAGCAAAATAAGTCAGCTTCTTTGTTATCTGACATAAGTTAAAGGAGATTTCATGCATCTGCCTCCCCTCTCAAGTGCCATTCACTGCTAAACACACACATTAAACTCTTCATCCCCAAACATGCGGCTCCACAAACCAACTGTCTGAGCATTTAAGCAGCATGTCCTGACACATAGGTTGTAATTATCAGCTATCCCCCCTCAGAATTCACCAGCCAGTTCAACAGGAGCTCCCTGAGTGGTCAGACATCCGAGCTAAATGTCTGTTTTTATTTGCACTCATCAGATCTCGCCAGGCCTCCTTCTGTGTGGCACCACCGATGATGGAGTCATACCGGTGCAGAACAGCAACCGACTTGCAAGCCGGTCAGACACACGGATCTCTCAAACGGCGCAGGAAGGCCGGCCGTGCAGCTCCTCTCCTCTGATTGAATTGTCTTGTTTCCTGATCACTCTCTGCAGCCAGGAGGAACATTCTGACTTGCTGCCCATCAAATATTAATGGCAGCGTTTGATGAAAGGCAGACAGAGGAGAGCGGAGGGGTGTTAACGCAGGTCATGCTTTTTAATACTATCGATCCCTCGGATTCACATGGGTAAAGTTTTCTTCTTTTTTTTTTTTTTTATTCGTTTAATCTCTTAATGCGGGAGAGGACGTGCTGCAGCTGCCGACGGCCTGCTGTGATCTGCATTAGTTGTTTTTGACAGACAAAATCAGGCTGCATTTATTTCTCCATTTTTTATATTTACTATAAAACTCCAAAGCAGCTACACATGCGATTACACCAATATAAAGCCGCTTGCTATCATTTCTCCTTATTTTCCAGATTCCATTTGTCGGTGGAAGACGAACAATAGCAGTAAAAGCCCAGAGTTTCCATGGGTGTATTCTTCTACGCATAAAGCATAACAGTGACCTCAAGTTTCTGTGACCCATTTAGATTAATGCTGAAGCTCGTGACCTCCAGCTCAGGCGCTTTATTCCCAGCTGGCCATTTGAGACGCCAGATGTTGGAAAATAAAGGGTCTCAGGCATTCTGAGGTCTGTCAGGCTGCGGGGTTATGGTTTCTGAGGGACGTGAGAGTCATTAAAGTTGTTGCAGTTTGGTTTGCACGTTTTAAAAAAGTGAATTTAGGAAGATGGCTTGTATTTTTTGTTGTCTTTGTGCAGGTTTTCTAAGAAACACACGGCCTGCAAGTATGTCAAGTAATGAAGGTCAAACAACAATAGCCGCAAAATGAATGTTGTGTCAGTGCTGCGGCTTTTAAGCAATAAATGCATCATTTTGGAGTTTGCGCCGGTTTAACAAAGATATCAGCGGTAATGGCCGGCTCCCCGTTGGCACAGCAACAATGCCTCTGTGGTTTAGTAGTCCTTACAGTGCACCCCTGCTGCCTCTTCCAATCCGTGGACCCCCCACCTCCACACTCACACACAGCAGGAGCAGAACACTGTGTTCCTTCAGTCCTTCACTGACTGACTGACATGTACACAAAGGGAAAACCTCTTTCATCTGAAGCGGCGAGTGTTTTCCCAGATTCGCTCGGGCTACGGGCGCGCTGGGAGAACCTCCAGCGAACACTCGGCACCAGAGAGAGGGGCCGAGGTGTCACAGTTCAGACGGTGGATGAACGCTGAGCGGAGCGGCGAGAGCGATGGTGTCAGGGCACCTGGAGATGCTCTCTGTCTGAGAGAAAGGCTATAGAAAGCTTTGCTTCTACAAGGATGTGATACAAATGGTACAAAAGCACTCCACCGGTTTACACTCCAGTAACTTTACTAGTGTCACTACGGACCGTTTGAAGCAACAAGTAACTAAAACCAAAGCAGCAGAATCAAACACACAACATTTTTAAACTATGTGCATTATTGTTGCTTGACAAAGCTGGAGCCTACGTTACCCACAATGCAACTAGACTCAAACAGGCCCCAGGAGCTTGTTCCAGAGACCTGCTAAGCTCAGTTTGTTCTGCCCAGATTGTACTCATTATTTAAGAATGACCTTCAGCAGCACTACAGAGACTTTGTGTTCAATCTGTGGATGAACCGCTTTAATACGAAAAACTTTACTGGCAGCCACATATGACACTATATTAGGAGACAGTGTCTGTTAGCATCCCCTTCATCTACATGACAAAATACAATATCTTTATATTACACTAATGTAATCCAACCAAATGAACAAAACAAAAGTGGCACACTACTACTTTAATGTTCTACATGAACGTGTTTGTGAAACACTCAAACTTTCTGAGATGCAGTACCCCGTTCTGTACACTTGAGGGAGCCATTAAAGAGATTTTCTCCTGCACATGGACCAATTAATCTAAAACACACTAAACGTTGTGGTAAACAGTGAGCGAGCACCATGTACAACACATCAGAGCTCAATAACTGTCTTCAATAGATAGAAATGAGTGGAAGTCAAAATGTAAAAACATCAGTTTCTTTAACGATAGTCTTACTTATATTATCTATTTATTCTGGGATTTGTTTTTTCTTATTCTGCTTCATGATAAATATTAAAACACATAATCATCTGTTCCTCTTAACCCTCCTGCTACCTTCAAATTTACTGACATCTTCAATCCTTGGGTTCAGTTTGGCCCCAGCAATTTAAACCTCCAGAAAACATCATCATGTGTAAAAAGCCCTTTAAATTAAACTGAACAAATTATGTCAATGGCTTATTTACAGATGTTAAACGTTGGTTAAATTGACCCAAAGATAATCGGAGGGTTAAATTAAAAGGAAAAATATATATTAAAGAAATCAAAGGTGCCACAAAACAACCCTCTGTTGTTATCAGAAGCTTCTGGCTATTCAGCTGATCTTCAACTGATCTTCTGTGTGGCTACAAACCGTCGACTGCACTGAGCTGGACCTTCATGCAGGAGGTTCAGGAGGCAGTGTGACTCCATAAACTGGTGCACGGTTTGACCGTCCAGCATTGTCAGGTCAGTTATCATCATTATTTAACTTCTCCAGCAGAGTCACCACGATGAGGAAGCAGCTCTACATTTGACCCAAACTCTCTAACAGCACCCAGTCACACATAGTTTGTAGAATACAGAGGTTTGGTTTCTCATACCTGCAGAGAAGGTCAACAAACGTCCCTCTGGTCGTCCAGGAAGTTTTCAGGGTTGAATTCACGGGGGGGAGTTTCCACCTCGTTCCTCCTCGTTCATGATCGATGGGCCCTGTGGAGAAAATGGAGCGAGCAGAGGGAGAAAGAAATGCTTCAGTCGAGTAGTAGTTTAACTGACTAGTTGTCTTATACTGTGGCTCGGAGATGAGCTCCATGTCGTGGACACTAAGCAGCCGCTGAACAGATTGTACTAAATGTTTTTTATACTTTATCAGTGGAGAAAGTTAAACTTCAGGCTTTGCAGGAAGTAAACTATGAAAAACAAGACCCACAAAACTTTCCCATGAAGATGCCAAATATGTCCATTTTTTTAAAACACCAA